CGATTCCCGGTGCTACCAGATTTTCTGAGAAATATTGGATCTGGAACCGGTTCACTCAGCCTCGTGAGGGTAATTGAGGAGCTATTTCAAGGAAATAGCGGCTCCGGTCTAGAAAACCGATATTAACAACCGTGGGGGCCCGTTGCGCTGACCACGCGACACCCTCCATCTGCAAAACTTGACACTAACTTCGCAGAAAAGCGGCGGTTACGGACTACAGGCTACGGAGGTTTTATTAGTTAGGTGCCAGTAGTGTAAAACGCTATCGCGTCTCTGACCTCACTCAAATGACCACTGTGCCTATCAGACTGGCACTTGGTAGTTGATATGTCCGACGTGAAGTTGGCTGCACCTCCCCGCTGGCGCCGGGCCGCAACCGCTCAATTTGAGGACGTATGTCCGGGTGAATGGTGACAGGTACTTGCCGTTCCGGGAACCCGCGGATATACGAGTACGACAGGCGCCCATAACTGCAGTATGACAAATCTAAATATAGAATTTTTTGTTTAAGGTCATTGGAGACGGCATGACACAAGGAGCTACTTCAGCCAGTAAGCACAGTGCAGAGTGGCAGGTGTTTCGAGAGAACTTCGGCCACAGACAGGAGGAACGGCGTACACTACAAGAACAAAGGTTAAGAGCCTGAAGCAACATTCGATGAGTCGACATATCCTCTGATTTTTTTTTATTTTGTAACGTAGCAGACATGTGACGAACACTCAGTAAGATCACAAATAACTGCAAAGTTCAAAATTGTCTTACTGTTATTGGTCAAGGTTCAGAAGCTGTAAGCAATAGAAAGAAATACGTCCTTAAATCTCCTGTTCTTTCGCAACATGGTATATTTATCTTTTGCTTTATGAAAGGCACTAACTTCGCCGACAAGCGGCGGTCGCTCGGTCGGTATAATTCGCTTGCGGACTAAAACCACGGAATTTATTTTTGTTTCTATGAAAGGCGGCATTTCTTACTGTTGAAATAAGAATTTATTTTTTAGGGTAACGCTATTCTGTTTCAATCTGAAACCCCGAAAGGAAGAGAAAACTTGGGAGACCTAGGCGTAGATGGGAGGATAATAATAAAATAGCTCTTATAGGAGTGTGGACTTACTTAATCACTTTACAACTTTACAACGTGACCAGTGGTGAGCTCATAAATACGACAATGAACTGTTGGTTTTCCATTTAAGGAGTATTCCTTGGTTAGTTGAGCGACTGTTAGCTTCTGTTCTGTTTCATGGCATTAGTTACTGCGCAAAGTTACGGCATTCATATACTGAATTGTTCTTGAAGGAGGATTTAAAAAATTAATGTGAACAGAATTTCAGTATATATATTCGTTCATTCAGCAATGGCTCTACAGCCCTCTGTTGGACCCTGGCCTCGTCTTCAGTTTCGTTCTTTTTTCTTGCATAGGCGGTGTGACTCCTTGGACGGATGATCATCCGGAAATCTATATGAATCATGGTCTACAGATAATATAAAATTCTCAGTCTACAATCGAATTCCTGCAGTATATTTCGTCTCACAGCCCAGGTTTAAATTATATAAGCAACAGTTTAATTACGTATGCCTATGCTTCTTTGTACGCTGAAGAGTGGTAGTGTACATTGAGGTTATATTCATGAAAGGAACGTAAACTTGTTTTGTCTCCTCGTCTGCTGTCCAAAAACATAAAAATTAGAATATACAAAACTATAATTTTGCCTGTGGTTCTGTATGGGTGTGAAACTTGGTCTGTGATATTAAGGGAGGAACATAGAGTGAGGGTGTTTGAGAACAGTGTGCTGAGGAGAATATTTGGACCGAAGAGGGATGAAGTGACAGGAGGTTGGAGAAAACTGCATAATGAGGAGCTTCATAACTTGTACTCTTCTCCAAGTATAATTAGAATGATCAAGTCGAGGATGATGAGGTGGGGAGGGTATGTAGCTCGAATGGGGAGAATATAAATGCATATAGGATATTGGTGTGAAAGTCAGAAGGAAAGAGACCACTGGGAAGAACAAGGCGTAGTTTGGTGGAAAATATTAAAATGGATCTTAGAGAGATAGGATGGGATGGTATGGATTGGATTGATCTGGCTCAGGATAGGGACCAGTGGAGGGCTCTTGCGGACACTGTAATGAACATTCGGGTTCCATAAAATGCTGTGAAATTCTTGAGTAGCTGCAGAATTGGCGGCTCCTCCAGAAGGGCTCCGCTGCATGAGTAAGTAAGTAAGCAAGCCTATCCCGAAAGTTTAATTCTGGTATGGCGACGGAGGTAAACAGTTTTGGCTGAAGCTTCTTTGTACGCTGAAGAGTGGCAGTGGCTTATGTATATTGAGGTTATGTTCATGAAAGGAACTTAAACCTGTTCTACTGGAACGCGTCTTGTAATCTACTTGTTACTCCAGTGAAAGAGAAACCGAATGGGAATGAAACGGAGAACTCTGCTAGAGGAACTAATCAAGAAGATATGGGGACATTGATTCAAACAATAAACGGTGCTAAACACAGTCAACGCCCTGCTACAATTTGTATTTGCAATATAATAGAACGAGACACGCCAAACGGAAGGTGTCTGCGTAGCGGTAAGGCTCTTGACTCTTATTAAGGAGGTTCTTAATTCGAGTCTCTTCCGGGACATGGCTACGGTCACCGAAGTTTTTAGGGGTTTTCTTCAGCTTCTGCACACATTTTCCGGGACAGTGCCTCCATTAGGTCATGGCCTATTCCCTCAAAATCCGTTCCAAATCGTCACTGATCTACCATCAGTCCAATAGACGCTATATAGTCAATGTTATTAAATAACCGAAAATGAATATAGTAAACAGTCACACGTCAAGAAAACGTCGTTAAGTACACGGAATACAACATATGCTTACAAAGAGCTAAAACAAATGAAAAAAGTCCGTGACCTGTAGTCCGCAAGCGAGCTATACTGACCGAGCGACCGCCGCTTGTCGGCGAAGTTAGTGCCAACTTTAGAGGATAGAGGGTGTCACGTGGTCAGCGCAACGGATCCCCGAGGCCTTTAATTTCGGTTTTCTAGACGGGAGGCGCTATTTCCTTGAAATAGCTCCTCAATTATCCTCACGAGGCTGAGTGGTTCCCGTTCCAGACCCACTATTTCTCAGAAAATCTGGTAATGCCGGGAATCGAACCCTGACCTCTGGATCTGTAGCCAGGAACTCTGACCACTAGACCGCAGAGGCGGTCTATACTCCTTTTATAATCACATATTATGCTTCCAGGTCTCCGTAATTTCAGATTTCCTGATTATCTAAAAATGCTGGTTAACCTCGTCAACATTTATACATTTATGACAGAGAGATGGAAGGAAAACCCGAATGATCAAGTGAAACGGAAGGCGCCAGAGAAGGCACGTTTGTCCTACATGTTGAACGGCGGCAATAAAAGCCGTCTCGGTTAACCGTTGAAGTCACCCGATTTTAATTAATGTTTTCGGGTACTTAATTAAGAAAGTGAGACTGGTAAAATGCACAAACAGTTTTAGTCGAAAAAAAAAACATGAAGGCAGGAGACCGCAGGTAAAAGTATGGACGTGAAGATGATATTGTCACGTGTTTGTGGCTCCGTGACTAATAATAACAGATTTTTGGATTGGATGATTGGATTTACTGACAATCAATTACAACAGCTCACAGTGAACGGTGAGCCTAAGACTCCCTCTATTCCTTACTGGGCTCATCTAGTCTTTGTTATACTGTGACTGACTTGGTTCCGGTTTAGTTCTCTACTGCGACTGTCTGTTGATCTACAAATCATCTCTGATTCCCGAATGGTTTATGAATGACGAATGAGTCCGTTGAGTCTGAGTCTTTCCGACGTCAGTCGGCCAGTCTGTCTTGGGGCAAAGCACCCGGAGGAAACCTGCCCCAGCGCCACTTTGTCCACCACAAATCCCACTTGACCAGAGCCGGGATCGAACCCGGGCCACCGCGGTGGGAATTCAGTTGCGGGTTTGTTGATTTGGAGCACACTCTCTGACAAGAGGACGGGTCTGTCATTTAGAATTGCTGCTGGTCCCTCGCCAGCGCAATCATACTCTGGTCCGAGTCCTGTGGGACTCGCGACCATATTTTATTGTCTCGGATTCGAGACTTCCGTTTTCATCGCCTCTTACGAATCGCAGGGCTACGGTGGAGGTATTCGACCTTGCCTTCACACGGGATTGAATTCGTTCTTATCTGAACAGAAGCTTCTACACGTATAGCGCAGCGGTATCCTAGGAAGTGTTTGCTGAATGCCCTTATCTGTAGATATGTTTGTTGAATGTTCGTTTGCACGTGAACGTGTTTCGCATCGAGTTCGTGTCCAGGAATCCACCTCCATGGAAATGTGTTCTGTACAGAGTTGTTTCCTAGAAACGGGTCTATATGTCGAAATATTAAAATTAATCTGAAACACAGAGGGATCGGTAATAAATCTGTCGTTACACAACGGGTGCCGATTTTTTCTTGTAGCTTAGCGACTAACGGCTTATGAAGGACTGCCACACGGAGTTCAAAAGAAAACTAACTGTTGGCTAGCAGGACTGACTAATGAACACCAGTCTCATGTTCCAAATATCAGATTCCTCTGGTCGTTTTTTTATCTTTCTTCCTCAGCTAATCGATTCATCCATCACTACCACTCGTACAGCGTACAGCAGATATTCTCAAAATCTGCGAGACCGCAATCCCCAATATTTACACGTACATACGTTTCCGTGGCTCCCCATTCTCACAGAAATTGATGTTATTAGGAGTAATAAGTGAGAAATCTCGCACATTTACCTTTGTCTGTGTCTGAACGAGCTATACGAGTAGTTCAAACTCTGCTGCTGCTGGTGTTGATCGCCTTTTTTTGCACACACTGTATGTAGATATAATTGCATTTTACATAATTCCTGAAATCTTGGCAACTCCCCCCCCCCCTTCCTTGTAGGGGAGCGCGACCCACAGTATGATAACTATGGCTTACAGTGATCCTTGCTTGTTACAGCGTACGTCAGTGTTGCGATGGCTTTCGCTGAGAGCGAGTGATGTTCACTAGAGATTGCGGTTCGGAAGTTTTCGTTTTCGTTTCAGCTAGTTGGTTGACATGGTGAGAACAGATACACATCACTCCGAAAAGTCAGCTGATGTGAGAAACCGTAAGTTAGTGGCGTGAAGATGCGTGATGGTTTAGTGCAATATGAATAGTGTGTTCAATATGATGACTTCATTATACGCATGAACAGAAAAGCAAGTGACTAATCCAGGAAGAGTGACTGTATAGTGAATGAAGATGACATCTTGAGCGCTAAAGCTTACGTGTATTTAAAATTTAAAAGACGTGCAAACAACTGTTTCTCACGTATAGTCGACAAGTTTTCGTAATAGTAATATGTCATTGGTTTTTGACAAGCATTCTAACTATTCTATAAAAAAAATATTAACGTAATTAAGGGTTACCATTCATCAACTTCCATAAATCTTAGGTCTTCTTACTTTCATGATAAAAAGATCGTAATTATACGTTCAAAATGCCAACTGTGATATCAAAATACATTGACAATACTGTGGCCAAGTATAATATTCCCAGGGAGCATTTTACTAGGAGTGTAGTGGCGGCCGCAGTTTTTCTGTACGGCCTAAAACTAGGATATCCGTATATACAGTCATTATGTAAGAATAGCACACTTAATAGTTCACACCAAAATGGACATCCTTCAATTATTAGTAGTACTGCTGACGGTGAAAACTGTGTACACTCTCCCACAAATAACAATAACAATAATAAAGTGGACAATGGAAAATCTGACATGAATGGTGTTAAAAACAATGAGGCTGTAGTTCTGAAGCGTAGGAAGTCGCCAGGTATTAACAAGGAATTTATAATACAACTTCAGAAGTTAGTCAAATTAATGATACCTGGTATATGGACAAAAGAAATTGGATTGTTATCAATGCACACACTTGCATTGGCAACAAGGACTTTCTTATCAATTTATGTAGCATCAATGGAAGGCCAAATTGTGAAGTATATTGTGAGAAAAGATATGAAAAATTTTTCCATCATGTTGCTCAAATGGTTGGGCGTTGCAGTTCCAGCAACGTTCATCAACTCAATGATTCGGTACTTGGAAAACAAACTGGCTCTCGCTTTCAGGTGAGCTTTCTCTGAGAATTGTTTGCTTTAACTTGCTCAAGTCTTTGTTTATGATTATGCATTTATTCGTGGTTTTATATGTTGATAAGTCATGGGCTTATTAGTATTTAAGAGTGGTGTTTATAGAAACCTCATCCATGATGCAAGAAATAGAACCTTTTTTTTAGCACTAAATAAAATAGGCAGAGCTGAAGCTATTGTTTTAAATCTTTCTGATATAACATGTGAAGTGCCTCTGTGGTTAGATGGCACAGTTTAATACTGAGCCTGTAACATGCTTTATACATTGATATAATATACATGATACATCCTGAATCAGCATGACTTCTGTGTTGTATTGTGTTGAGGTGCCAGTTTCAGAGGCCGTCTCTGTACAGAGGAAAAATGTAATCTGAAATAGGCTCTTAGGAAGAGAAAACAAAGAATGACTGAACTTTGGAATCATGTTTATAATGTTGCAATTTTTCAATAGAAATTTTAAACTTAACACTAGTTACAGAATTACTGAGTTTTTGGACTTTTTTTGTCATCCAGAATTCTAGGTAATAGAGGACATGACATTTTGGAAACTGGATATGTTTGTGCCTTCAGGTGAGAATGGAAGACACTCACTCGGGCCCCTTAGAAAGAGCTAATCTCAATCACTGGATTAGCTCTTTCTAAGGGGCCCAACTGAGTAGGTGTCTTCCTTTCTCACCTGAAGACAGAAACAGATCCAGTTTCCAAGACGTCGTGTCCTCTATTACCTAGAATTCTGGATGATGGAAAAAGTCTAAAAACCCAGTAATTCTGTAACTAGTGTCATCCACTATTGTCAGAACCGTTTAGAATCTACTTAACACTAGCTTTCGGGACCAAAAGCTGTGTTCATATTTTAAGCGAAAGTATATCAACAACTATTGGCCTCTTCCCAAATTCAGCTCCATGATAAAATATAAATGTTTTAAAAACCACTGCCTAAGAAAGAGAATGAAAAATGATAGGACAGCAGATTACCAGAATCTGAGTGAAAAGGAATTAAAAAGTGACTGCTCTCTGACAAGGTTGTGGCTTTACATTACATTCCCTGGATTGAAAGTTAGTCACAGTGACTGTAGGTTGTGCAATATGTTATAGAGATACAAAAACATTTGTACAGTACAACTGAAGTTTTCACATAGACTTGAAAGGATTCTGATGATGGTGTATACTGTACTTCTTTTGGCTTGTTTTGGACTTCATCCATCATCTGGTATGTAAAAGACAAATCTCAATCACTAGACCAGTGATTGAGACTAGCTCTTTCTAAGGGGCCCAACTGAGTAGGTGTCTTCCTTTCTCACCTGAAGACAGAAACAGATCCAGTTTCCAAGACGTCATGTCCTCTATTACCTAGAATTCTGGATGATGGAAAAAGTCTAAAAACCCAGTAATTCTGTAACTAGTGTCATCCACTATTGTCAGAACCGTTTAGAATCTACTTAACACTAGCTTTCGGGACCAAAAGCTGTGTTCATATTTTAAGCGAAAGTATATCAACAACTATTGGCCTATTCCAAGATTCAGCTCCATGATAAAATATAAATGTTTTAAAAACCACTGCCTAAGAAAGAGAATGAAAAATGATAGGACAGCAGATTACCAGAATCTGAGTGAAAAGGAATTAAAAAGTGACTGCTCTCTGACAAGGTTGTGGCTTTACATTACATTCCCTGGATTGAAAGTTAGTCACAGTGACTGTAGGATGTGCAATATGTTATAGAGATACAAAAACATTTGTACAGTACAACTGAAGTTTTCACATAGACTTGAAAGGATTCTGATGATGGTGTATACTGTACTTCTTTTGGCTTGTTTTGGACTTCATCCATCATCTGGTATGTAAAAGACAAATCTCAATCACTAGACCAGTGATTGAGACTAGCTCTTTCTAAGGGGCCCAACTGAGTAGGTTTATACTCCCCTACCCACCTGAAGACGGAGACAGATCCAGTCTCCGAAACATCGTGGTCTTTTGTCTTTTACATACCAGACGATGGATGAAGTCCAAAAGAAGTGAAGTGTTCAGGTTAGAAAACCCAAGAGAACACATTGGTTACACATGAGGCTATTTAAAATAATATCATCCACAGTGCGCACCATACTGTCAACTTATGCTATTGACACAGACTTTAAATGGATGAGTCATTTTTTAGACAATGTGTATTCATCAGCAGAGAAGAATGAACGTGGGTTTAAGTATTGTATTAGTGCTATTTTAATGTTTTTCATTCATAAGACTTTTTAGATCAGATGGCAAATTATTTAAAATCTTTATCCCAGCATAATAAGCTTTCTTTCTGAAAGCAAGACAGGTTAACTGTTGGTTTGTGGAGGTAGATATTGCTTGTGTCTTGTCCTAACACTGTGTACATCTGCATTGGTGTGAAAATGTTCTTCATTATATGTAATGGAGTTTATTAACCAATTATATATTCAAATGGAAGAGTTAAAATCTGTAGTCTCTTAAACAGATCTCTACATGAATTATGGGTTATGACACCCATCATGAATCTAAACAAAATTTTTTACAGTGTAAATACCTTTTTGTTGTCAAATGAATTAGCCAAGAAAACTGTCTCGAACTTAATTAAAGAGTGAAAGTAAGCAAACTAAATCGATTTGGGAGTGTCAGTGTTGCTGATATGCAACATAGTTATAACTACATAACATGCTGCACTTAGCTTTGGACCCAACTGATCGATATGGTTTTTCCAGTTTAAATGATTATCAATTTGTAAGCCAAGGAATTTTGTTTTAAATTATTTATCATTATATCCAATTTTTAATGGATACTATGGTGAGTTTTTCATTATAAATTTTATTACATTTATTTTATCTAGATTCAGGGGCGGCTTGTTTGCAGAAAACCATTCACTCAAATCAGAGAGAACTTTGTTTGATTAATATTTAGAAATCATATAAATTTTTGCTAGAAATTATGACACTGTCATCAGCAGATATTTTATTGATGAGGTGTTTAGTGTAGGAGGCAGGTCAGTTGTATAAATTATGAAAGGCAAAGACCCTAAAATTGACCTCTGGGGAATGCCATGCTTTATTGTTCCCCAGTTTGAGTAGGTACTTTGGGTTGAATTTGATGATTTTATTTCAATTTTTTGTTTTCAACTTTTCAACTTTCTCTCTCTTAGGATCGGAACCAACTTGCTGTTGCTCGAAAAAGAAAAATATAATTTAGTTAATAAAATTTCGTGATTTACAAAGTCAAAATATTTTGCTAAATCAGAGAATATTCTACCAACATGCATTTTTTGAGTAACAGATTTTAATACACTGTTAGCTTAAAGACTGCATTTTCAGTGGATATTCCTTTCCTGAAGTCAGACTCTTCTGGTACCAGTATATTATTAGTCTGCAAATAATGGCTTAACTTATTGTGTATAACTTTCTCAAGTACTTGAGAGAAAGTAGTTAATAGTGAAATTTTCCTGTAGTTATATATATGAGATTTTTCCCCTTTTTTGTACAGTGGTCTTACTACTGAAATTTTACTGAAATGTTGACCTATCCTAGCAAAAATATGCACACCAACCCTCTGTAGGCCTTTTCAGCAGAAGCTAAACCTAACAGATAACCATTCATTGTGAGGTGCAGCTTCTCATGACTTATTAACACCCAAGTAGGTACAGCTTCTCATAACTTAATTCATTAACACCCAAGTAGGTACACTTCTCATGACTTAATTCATTAATACCCAAGTAGGTGCAGCTTCTCATGACTTAATTCATTAACACCCAAGTGATATCATCTTAGGCCACGCCATAGCTCAAGAGGTTAGTTGCTGGCTTCCCAACACGGTGGCCCGGGTTCAATCCCTGGTCTGGTCAAGTGAGATTTGTGGTGGACTAAGTGGCACTGGGGCGGGTTTTTTCCGAGTACGTCGGTTTCCCCTGCTAATTTCATTTCACGAAATTCTCCATCATTATAATCACTGGGGGCAGATACAATAGGCCAATCAGTAGCTGCCATGGTGGATGGACCCAGCTGGACTCCACCCCCCACTACAGCAAATTTAACGTCATCTTAGATGCTTCTTCCAATTGTTCAGGTTTGTTACGAAAATTTGTAATTGGCAAAATTAAGATCATGAATGATCTTTATAAAAGACAAGAATAACAATGTATAATGCACAGAAATTATTTTTGACTCATATGTGTTGTATTACAAGCTTTGAAATTATCAGAATTCATTCATTCCACATTTTTATATATACTCATATACAGAACATACACCATTTGCAGGTGGGAGGTTAATAACAAATTTACATTGATACACTGTCACACCACACGGTATGGTAGTTGGTTGAGGCACTATGCTACAAGCCAGAAGATTGTGGGTTCAAGTCCCGATGAGGTCATTGGATTTTTTCAATTGACATAATCCTTCCATCTGCACTATGTCCCCGGGGTCAACTCAGCCTCTAACAGAAATGAGTACCAGGAATTAATTAAATGATTTTCCTGGGGAGTAAAGCGCGGCTGGCCCTGGTAAGGCTGACATCTTTACCACCATCTTTGAGCCGATTGTCTAGATAATGTGGGACCCTCAGCGTCTCACAACCCTATGGGCCTTCACGGCCTGTTACAGGGATAGCGTTACTTTTTTTTAATTTACAGTTCCATGCCATAACAACCTCTTATAATCAGACTGGATTCTAAATCATTACTATCCACCTAAGTCTCTACAGAAACAAGTGAATGCAGTCAAGCGAGCCTTCAGTCCTATTCTGTTGCATCAGATTACATTAAAAGGGGAAGGGTCACACAAGTGGAAACAAAGAAAACCCAGACTCAGCAAAATTCTTATGTTAAATGTATTTGAGAATGTCAGAGGCAAAGGAATGGACTTAGATGGATGGGTGCTATCCATTTACATGACATCAAGAACAAAGTAAACTTTCAAACTACCAATGAAGGTTTATACAAGGTTTCAGTTTCAGTACATGACACTCCTAAGCACTG